CTTCAAGGTTAAACCACAGTATGTTTGGCCTAAGCTAATGGACGTCTTACCTTAATACCTTAACAATAGGATATTTATTTGGTTTAGGGTGTGGTTATTTGGTGTTCTGGGCTTTAAGGGGGCAATTACATTTGTTTGTTCCTTGTAGCATGGTAAGGAAGTCTTGCCTTCCCCCTGAGAAACTGCTGCCTGATAGAATTTTAACAATGAAATCTTTATTTTATTGGTGTGTGTGTGTGTGTGTGTGTGTGTGTGTGTGTGTGTGTGTGTAAAGGTGGGGAGGTGTGCACTACATGGCATGTGTGATAAAGGCCAAAAGACAATTTTCAGGTTCTGTTCTCTCACTGTCAGTCCTAGTTATTAAACTTAGGTCACCAGGCTTATTTAGCAAACTATTTTATACATAAAATGATCTGCCCCCCACTATAATTTTTAACATATTCCTCCCCTAATCCCATGTCAAGACTTCACCTATACTCTGGTTCACTTCCCGCATTATGCCAAACCACAAGCCAATACCACTGTGTTCGATAAAGTTTGCTTAGAATATGTGGAAGAATTAGTATAAATGTTTAAATCTTAGAACTAAAGGACAATTGTTTCTCCATAAGTCCCAGGAAAACTGGGAAAGTCAGACAGAGAAAAGGATTTGGGAGCCAGAAAATGTCTCAGAGCTTTTTGACTCTGGGACAATTAATCAGCAATTATTTAGTATTCATCTATGCTGTGGTAAAGGCTGAAGGCACCCAAGGTGTGGTCCCTGGCTCCAAAGAGTTTACCATCTACTGGGAAATCAGCTAGGCAAACAGAATACAATCAGATAACAATGGGATTGCACAAGAGCCCAAGTTTGGTAAAGTAATAAACCAAAGATGCTTCCACAGGTTTTTTACAGAAAGGTGGGATATGATAAAATCAATGTTGAGTAACATGCCCTCCTTACTCTGCTGCAGCCCATTTTATAACCACCACTCAGGCTCAGGCTTGCTTGACTTTGGCTGTTGTAATGAACCTGTATCCAGCACGCTTGCCTTCTCCCTGGCTTAATCTCTCCCAGGCTATCTTGAACACAGCACCAAGCATGATTTTCTAGAGGCATCCAAGGGATACTGTCTGTTTCCAATAAGACAATGACTCTCCTGTTTTTGTTTTTTGAAAGGTTTTGTGTGATGTGTCTGTCTCTGTGTATGTATCTGTATGTGTATTTCAGTGTGGGTATATGCTGCATGCAACTGGGTGTCCAAGACCAGAAGAGTGTCTGATGCCTAGGAGCTACCTACAGGTAATGAGCCATCCTACAAGGGTGATGGGAACTGAACTCCTCTGGAAAAGCAACAAGTGCTTTTTAAATGCTGAGCCATCCATCTCTCCAGCCCTCTTATTTTGATTGTTATTTGAGATTGGGTCTCACTGTGTAGCCTGGGCTGTCTGTGAAGTCATAATCCCTTTGTTTCAGTCTGTGAGTGCTGAGATATCAGGTTCGTGACATGTCTAATTATTTGAAATAATGCAGGCCCGCCCAGCTGTGCCCTTTACTGTGGGAGGTAGAGGTCTTTAAGGCACACCCTAAATTACTGTTGTGAGATTAAACGTGTTTCTCCCCCCAACCACATACATCTAGTCACAAGTGGCTGGTGTGGTTGCTCACACCTGTAATCCCAGCATCTGGAAAGCTGAGGCAGGAGGACTGCAAATTCAAGGCTAGCTTAGGCTACAAAGCAAGTTCGATGCTGAATTCTACAGCAAGACCCTGTCTCAAATAATAAACATTTATGCCCTACATTTCATTAGCAGTGTGGCTTGAGGGTTAGGCTTACAAGTGTCTTTGAACGAGAGGGAGGAACTGCTTGATTTCTGCTGGGGCGGCACTGGAATGTGTCCATGCTGTTTTCTGCACCTCCCTTCTCTGATTTGGTTGCCATCTGCTTTCCTATTATCTGTGTCGGGCTCATCTTTCTTCATCCACGTGTCTCCTCCAGCAGCTCACAGCTGAGGCGGAATCACTCAGATCGTGGTTCAAATGACTGGAGGAAAAGCAGGTCCTTCGTTCACTGATCATCACTTCCTTCTCCAGAAGAGAAATCAAGAATGACTGCAGTGAGAGTAGACCAAGCATGGACTCACAGCAAAGGGCTGCAGGGCTGATCTGCTTAACCATAAGAAGGCGGTCCACACCAGTGCTTTCCTCTGCGGCTTCACTCCCTCTGCCCTAGTCCAAGGTAGCATCTCAAGTTGTCAAAACTTGGGCCATAGGTGCAGGTTAGTGGTAGAGCACTTTCCTAGCATATGTGAAGCTCTGAATTCAATCCACTGTACCACAAAAATGCAAACAGAGTTCGGTAAATTTTACAGCAGCTGCTTTGTCTCCGATCTACTAAATTTCCCATCAGTATCCAGACTCACTCAGATGAAGGAGAACTCAGGTCACAACCCTGTCTAAAATACTCCACTTGATTTTGTTTGTTCTTAAAGACTGGGTCTTGGGGCTGGAGAGATGGCTTGACAGTTGGTTAAAAGCACTTAGTGCTTTTGCAGAGGACCCATGTAGGGAACACACAACCACTTGCAACTTTAGCCCCAGGAGATCTGATGCCTTCTTTTGACCTCCAAAGGTACTCACATCCACATGTAAGTACACACACACACACACACACACACACACACACACACACACACACACAAATTAAAAATAAATCTCATGAGTTCAAGGCCAGCTTGGACTACAGAGTTTCAGGACTTTGGAGAAGAACCCTGTCTCTAAAACAGTAACATAAACTAATCATAATAATAGTAGGCAAAGTGGAATAGCAAACCGGCCTACTAAAGTATGAAAATCAGTGAGTTCGATTTTTACTTATTTAAGTTAAATAGCAGAAAGATTCTTGCTTCTCTATAGTTTGCCTTTATTGTGATTAGTTGTCGACAGAAGTTTCTGTACCGCCTGGTCCCACAGCCCTGTTTAGTCCCAAATAATCACAGAGGTTTATTAATTATAATGGCTGATAGCCAGGCTTCTTATTGGCTAGCTCTGCCTTAATTATTAACCCATTTCCACTAATCTGTGTACCTCCACGTGGTCTTGGTTTACCGGTGATGCCGGGTCTCTTTCTGGTAGCCCTGCCTATACTTCCTGCCTGTCCACTGGCAGAAACAGCTTTATTCATTAACCAATAAGAGAAACATATATTCACAGCATTCAGGACATCGCCCACCAACCAGTAAAGAAACTTACGTAGTAATTTAGGAATTTTGTATACAGTTCTCAGTCAGCTGGTCTCTGCTGCATAGGGGGTGTGAACTATCCCAGTGGAAGGGTGCTGTCTTGGGGAAGGGTTGACAGTGTTGTTGGCCCTCACTCATTCACCCCTTCTGTGTAGGGACTTGATCATTTCCCTGTGCTTGATGAAATGTGTTCTAGCCAGCAGATAGCTCTCCATAGGCAGGAAAGGAAAAGAGGTTGACAGTTAAATTACAAACCAGCCACCTAAACATTGAGAATAAAGAGCAGCCAGACTCCTGCCAAGGTCAGAGACCAGGCACACCTGCTAAAATGGGCATCACCAGCAAGTGAGTCTCCATCAGCAGCTAACCAATAAATTAAAGGGGCAGAGTGGGGCTGCAGTGTGACTCCTTCAGTTTGGCAAGCAGCAAGTGGACACGTTTGGAGTAATGTCCAAAGTATGAGGGCGCCCCACTAGCATGGTCCACAATATGCCTATAGAATTAAACTACCTTAATAGAAATTACCCAGTCTTTGTCTAGTTTCTGCCCCAAGCCCCACAAAAAGGCCCTACAGAGGCATGTCATCCATTTTATTCTCCTTTGGGTCCCTCCCACTCAGGAGTTTTCTCTTTGTGTCTTTATTCCTCACTGACTTGAGACTATGAACTATAGAGTCACTGTCTCTGGTTAGCTTTTGCACCTTAAGCACATCTGGGCCAACAAAGCCCTGTCTCTATCTATACATCCCAGCTCTTACTAAAATTTAAATACAAGTGATGGGAAAAAAAAAAAAACCCAGTAATTTTCAGGCTTCTACACAAGCTCCTGTAGCACTCTGGTGTACAGCTAATGATGACCTAGTAAGGCATGACAAGGACAGCTAAAGATGGAACATATTCATTATCGGCAATTACCTGCAATGTAACTCTCCATTCTCTACTATATATACTTACAGTGCCTTGAAACTGGCCAATGGATAAATATCACAATTCATATGACAGTTAAAATAGTTCTCTTTCTTATCTTATGATGGTTGGAGGATATTTTATTTAAAGGTAAAATCATGATCCCTGTTAAAACATTACACAACCAAATCATCACTGTGAGAGTGCTAGCAAGACATCAGAGCTGTTTTGAAGAACGAACATCAGACGAGACATGCAATCAGCAATGTTGAAATAAAGTTGTTACATCAAGAAAGATCAAATTCAATTTTTTCCCTTGAGGTAGAAAACACCCCAACATAGATGAGGGAGTAGATAAAAGATATGCAGACGCATGCAGAGACAAAGGGATCTCCTGGAGGCAGAGCTCAATCAGCATGGAGTCCAAGGCCAGAAAGGTGTCTGTGATGATGGTAAGGCTGGAGAGAAAGGATATTGCTTGATGCTCATTCACCACGAGGCTAATCCGCCATTAAGGTCAGAAGGAGAAAGAAGTGGACTCACCCACCAGCTGGTATTGCAATATTAATGTCCACCCTGAAGGAAATGGATGGTCTATCATACACAGACTTATTACACACACACAGGATCTATACATCCACATGTACATATATAATGGAATTTACAATTCCCAAATGCCATCATTCACAAAGATTATACGGAAACAAACACAAATATGATTTCATTCTGGAACATTATGCATTTACATATATACTTATATATGTATGGATATATATTGGCACATGTATAGTCACACAGTACTGTGTATGTGCATGTTCATTTCCTTCATATACATCACTGACTGTACTCAAGCTGTATCCCGGGCAGTCTCTGTTATCTACTGACACAACCACACTCCAAAGAGAGGATGGCTGTGGCATACAGATAGGGATGGCCACATTCCCAAGGCTGCAATACATAAGCAGGCTCAATCTGGTACCATACATTGTGTTCCCCTTTCTTCTCAGTGGCATGAATCCTGAACAAGACTCCCTCCCCCAACCTAGTATACCATGTGGCCCTTATAAAGCTATGTGATCCCCCAGGTATGCCAAATGGCCCATGGTAGCACCAGGGCTGCCTCCATCACTCGTAGGCAGGCAGACCAAACAGCTCAGGCTTGAAATCCTCCAGGGAACGCAGCACCACTGTGGCCTTTCTTGTTAAGTCTTGACTCAGGTTTTCATCAGGAACCATGACAACCTGCATCCCAGCTGCCAGAGCTGCCTCCACGCCATTGGGAGCATCTTCAAAGACAAGGCACATGTCTGGGGCAGGAATGGGACTGAACCTCCGTGCACAGGAGAGGAATATGTCTGGGGATGGCTTCCCACTCTTGACCTCAGGATCATCTCCTAGCACGATGTGGTTGAACAACCTGAAGAACTCCTTGTGCCTGCTGGTCTTCATTTCAAAGGACACGGAGCCTGAGCTGGTGGCCAGGGCAAAGGGGATGCTATGCTTTCGGAGATGCTGGATCAGTTTCTCAGCCCCTGGCATTAGGGCAGCCGTGGGAAACAGGTCTGCCAGCTTGGCCTGGCTCTCCTCCACCAACTCCTCCTTGGACATGGGCAGCTGCAGGACATCGATGATGATCTGTGCAGCTTCTGGAGCCTTTTTCCCCATCACAAGGGACTTGACCTCCCAGCTGTACATCTTCCCATAGCGACCACACAGCTCCTGAAACACCACTGAGTACAGCTTCTCAGTGTCCAGAAGTAGTCCATCCATGTCAAAGATGAGGTGGGTGACCGGTCGTGGTGGGGGCATCTCCATGGTGACTCCTTCTCAATCTGGGGTGGATGGAAGGGTTCATTTATTTTTAATTATATATTTTGTGGTAAATGTTGTTTTATTTATCATGTGCTAATAAATTAACAAAAAATAGTACCCATATAATGTGGCATAATGCTATTTATATCTTTAATGTATAGTCATATATGTTAATATATAGAGAAATGTATTTGTGCATGCTCAAAAAATTTATGACACAATCAAGAAATATGAAGAACAACTGGATTAAAAGATGACATTTGGAAGGCATCTGGCCTTGCTATCATTATCAAGTGACTGAAGCCTAAAGTGGTTTCATAATATCTTTAATTGTAACACAGGGTGTATCTGGAAGTTGTTGTTATTAACTACTATATTTAGAGCAACCTATTACATTATATATTATATCTACAAAGTAGATACAACTATTCTATCTAGAATGTTGCAGGGTGGGCAGTCTGGGAGACAGCATCCAGGAGAGGTGGAGTCTGCTTCAGGCATGCTAACTACAGCCTGCATGCCCATACCTACGAAAGAATAACAGTGACCTTCTGTACAGAGCTTTTTGCAGAGGTAAGTGAACTAGTAAATGAAAGATTTTAGGCCATGGACTCATAGCTAACATGAGGGTTAGGTGAGTGTTAACTAAGATTAACTTGAGTTTGGCTGAAATTGACAAAACAAATACAAAACCCAGAACTAACCCTGCTACTTATTGCCCCTTGCTGGCCAATACTACTCTGCACACCACATTCTCCATGGGATAGCTGAATACATAAATAATCAAGACTCTCAGAATTTAAGGAAACATTAATGCTTCACTTCAGAATTTCCACAAAAAAAAAAAAAAAAATCTGTGTGGAAAATAACTAACAGCCATGAAATTAAACAATCTGAAAGATGTATAGGAAGAGAAAAGAAAAAATAACCTTTAAAATAATTAAATTGCTGGGTCTGCTGGGACTGGACTATAAACCTAGTATTTTGGATATCAAGGCCAGATGGAGAGTTTAAGGTCAGTCTAGACTGCTCTTTTAGCAGGTCTGAAACACCGAAGAGAAGATACAGAGTAGGTGAACTACTGACAGATGCATGGACACATGGGAACCTTTCTGAGGTCCAAAGCTTATTCATTTTATTTCTCTCTTCCTGTTGCTCCTACTCTGTTCTTTCTCGGTTCTATTCTTCTATCCTACTGTTTTCCTTCTGCTCTTGCCCAGTTGTTTTCCTTTGATTGCTTCCTTGATGTCTTCCTTCTATATATCTTTATATAGCTTATATACCCCAGGAAGAAAAAAAAAATCTTTCAAGCAATATAAAAATTACAATATGGTTACATTCTATTTTTTTAAATGAATGATTACAATGAATGCAAGCAAAAACAAACAAATAAAAAACCCAGCATTTTTCTCATTTCCCTTACATGATTAAGCATTTTACTTATTACAAGTGAAAAAAATTATTCCCAACAACCCACATACATTTGTTATAGATTAACAAATGGTAGGCAAGCAAGGTTCTTAGCCAGTTCTTTTACTAGTAGGCTGCATTTTGCGGTTACAAAGAAAGGATCACCATTTTATTTTTTATCTCAAAAGGTAATCCTATAAAAAAATTATAATTTTAACTTTTATATATTAAAAAAAGTATACATGTCCACTCATCCACAATTTTTTATTAAATCATTCCAGGAAGCTGAGGGAAAAAATGGGAACAAGAAATTAATCACTGCCTTAGATTACCATCTCTAGCAAGAAGAATGACTTGTCAGCTAGTAATAACCGAGCTGCCTTTGTTCTTATCCCTTGCTCAATTATTACAAGTGTGCCGTTCTAAACTTAAATTGTTTCTCAAGATTTTCTACATTAAATCCAATAACAAAACATCTTAACCTACCTTTGCTAACAGTCTACATCTCAAAATTCTTTCTAAGGGCGGTGGTTGAATCATTAATCTGCTCCAGCAACAATGCTTGGAAAAAGCCAACAACTATTTAAGTATCAGTGACACTGCCCAGTGAGGGAATAGAACCCCCCCCCCCCCAGTACCCATACAACTCATATGAGGGAGATGGTGACTGCTATGGCAATAAGCAGAGTTATGCTCAGTAACAGCATGAGGTCCTCACGAGACATAGTCTTCAGGGCTCTGCCTCTCTAAGGCTGATTGCTGAGCCATATTCCATGAGTTCCAAAGCTGCTTGCTATTTCTCTCACATGGTCCCCAACACTAGACAACATTACAAAACTGTCCCAAAAAACAACAAACAAAAAAACCCAAACCCACACTTTATGTAGTTACAAGCCTTTAAAACCAGCCTTAAATTGCAGTATTCTGCAGCATGGACCTTAAGAACAGGGGATAATTTAGAAAATGTGCACTGAAAAGCAACTCTGTGAGGTGACCAAGTCTGTTTCCTGTTCTGCCTTGGTGGTTGGAGTGAGAAAACAGCAATCTCCTACCTATAGCTTATACGACAATGGCATTGCCTGTTGAGGCACACTGGTCCGAATACTTTCCTCCCATCTTTTCTGTTTTTTCCCCTCTTAAGACTATGTTCAAATATAAAGAAAAGAACAGTATAATGAATGACATTTACATATCATTTCCATTAACATTTAGCTCCTTGTATTTCTTCTGAATTATTTTAAAATACAGACAACAAATGTTAGCCTAAATGCCTGTATGCATATTAAAATAAACCCATTTTCCTGCATAAGCACAAAACCATTATTCCTTTAGTAGCAACTGTCTAATATCATCTAATACTGCAATCTAAATTCGAGTACAGTTGTCCTAAGATATATTTCTATTTCAGTTACCAAATCAGAATCAAGCAAAGAAAAACTGTCACATTTATCATCAAATCTCAAGTTTCTCTTAAGCTAGAACAGCCCTCTCCTTCAGTCTTGTCTTTCTAAAAACATGTTTTATTATATGTATGCAATTATTGATTGATTTTGTATGTATATGTGAGTGCATGTGGAGGTCAGAGGAAACCTGTAGAAGTTGGATCTTTCCTGCCAAGTGAGACCTGGAGATCTAACTTTCATCTGCAGGCTTGGTAGTAAGTGTCCCTGTCTGCTGATCCATCTAGAGGGCCCCAGCCTTACCTCTCATTTTTATCCACAAGAATTTAAGACATAGGTTCTAGGTGTTACTGATTATTTCTTTTTTTAATTCCATGTGAATGGTTTCTGAACTAGGATGATATAATAGGCTTATGTTGAGGTTTAAGACCTTTGCAAATTGTAATTCACAGAAGCTAGAGTTTCATATTGCTTCTCATCAGAAGACCATGTCAGGGTAGTCTTATTTATTAGTGATCAGATTGACTTGCAATCAGGTGAGAGAGTTCAGGTCTCTCAAGTGGTACTAGTCCCCCTCCCCTATGACTAGCAGTGATGGGGGACGGGAGGAGGGGCGGTGTCTCTGATTCTTTACCAACATCTGTGGGTCCCAATCAGTGGTTTTACTGATGCACCTGCCAAGGTTTGTTTCATCAGAGACTGAATGGTGATGCTCTGCCCGTTTTCCTGCATTTAGCTGCCATAGGTTTCACAAAGAATTGCTTCTTTATCTGCTAATACTATAAGGTTTTCCAAAACTACAGCCGGTACTAGAAACACAGAATAAACACTGTTTTCTTAAATAACCACTTTTTAGGAGTAAAGGTGATAAAATATTCACCAATGATAGTGTAGCAAAATGGCCTTCTTTTCTGTTTTAATTTGGCTTACTTCCTGAGGGAAATAACACATATTTAATGCTAACGATTATTTTAGTTTCTAGTGGTTTTGGTGCTCAAATTGTTCCCATTTTGTCTAGTGGGCAGTCTTTTAGGAATGACCTTGTCTGTATTGTTTTCTGAAGCATGTGCTTCTAAGAGGTATTGTTCATTCCTAGCTTTGATCTGGACTCAAACACATCTCCAGGAATGCTGGCACCTGTCCCCGTGGCGCTGCTGGGTTTAGATCAAAACCTGGGGGCCAATGGGAGTCATTTCTCTAGGTCTTCAGTTTGCACTCCTACCTTCACCTCAAGATTAAAAACAGAGGTTTCGTGTGATTCGTTCTTTAAAAGGAGAAACAGCGAGCAAAGAGGAGCAGAGTCAAGTGTCTCGCGGATACCATGCGGGGATCTGAACCGGGGAAAGGGCGCCCCAGGCATCCAGAGTAGAAAGCTTGTTGGATTTGCCAGTGGTCCCCGCTCCAGGGAGGCTGAGGCAGGGCTGCCGCGGGTTCCAGGCTAGGCTGGACGGCAGCGTGAGGCCTTGTCTTACCTGCACCGAGCGTGGAGCCCACCGAGAGAACTTATCAGGGGCTGCCAGACTGGGAGAAGACGGAAGCCTGGCCGCTCTCCAATTGCCCGGTAGGCCAATCAACGTAGCCTCAGGGCCGGACATCCGAGAAGTGCAACCAATGGGAAGGCGGCTTTAGTGGGCGGGAGGCGGTGCATAAGGACCAATCCCAATTGTCGGCTCACGCCAGCAAGGCGGCAGCCAACCCGCAGCGCGCTCTCTCCTCAGCTCCGCCCGCTGCTCTGCGCTGGCGCGTGGGTGGCGGCGCGCTGCTCCTGCGGCGGTGCCGGCCGGGCTCATCAGTGCTTGGCGCTGCTGGCGTGGACAAGCAGATATGGCGAGCTCCAGCTGTGAGGGCCACGCGGGCCAGGAGGGGGAGACGTTCCTGTACTTCGCCTATGGCAGCAACCTGCTGACCGAGAGGATTCACCTGCGAAACCCCTCGGCCGTGTTCTGCTGCGTGGCACGCCTGCAGGTCAGTGCCGTTGTGCCCGCTACCGGGAGAGCGGGTCAGATACGACCCCTGCCGGGAACCTTCGGCTACCATCGGCGTTCTCAGTCCTCCACTGGCTGCCCTTTCCCGCCGACTTCGAGCATCTTGTAGGACGCCTTCAATGGGTGCTTCTTTAGTCGAGGACTAGCTGTTTTCCAGCCTGTGCATACCTTTGTCACAGCGTTCGTCCCACCGTTCTGTGAAATTCTGTGTATCTGTCTTCTCCTCCGGATCTGAGTGGACCTGGTCTTGAGACCTGGAGTCGTGTCTTCCCTAGAGATGGCGATGCTCCCTCAGAAGAGTGTCCCTAACCGATAAACTTGAACTCTGGTGAACTATGGCTCTTGACCACAGTTCACCTGCTTATTTAATACGTATTCTTCTGGGACTCACTGCTGGGGTTACAAAGATGACTGAGCAGTCCCGCTACTTGGAGGACGGTCCAGTGTATACAATACGACTGTGTGTAGTGCCTTTGACAAGTTGAACCAAACACTCATGGCCCTTGCTAACTTTGTCAGAGTTTTTGGTTTCAGGCAACAGAAACCGGCTGGTTTAAGAAAGAGAGGGGATGGGAGGGTGATGTTTTGGAAGGCTGTTTAGAGAGCTCATGGAATCACCTGAAAGACTGGAGTACAGAGCTGAGTAAATACGCAGGCCTGGTGTATGTGCATTCCACCAGCATTGCAGGATGTGTGTGTGTGTGTGTGTGTGTGTGTGTGTGTGTGTGTGTGTACGTACCATCAGCATTGCAGGAGAGGACCAGCCCAGCTCTGGAAGAAGGTGTGTGTGTAGGTAGGTGTGTGTGTGTGTGTGTGTGTGTGTACGTACCATCAGCATTGCAGGAAAGAACCAGCCCAGCCTTGGAAGATGGTGTGTGTAGATATATGTGTGTAGGTGTGTGTGTGTGTGTGTGTGTGTGTGTGTGTGACCAGCATTGCAGGAGAGGACCAGCCCAGCCCTGGGAGAAGGTGTGTGTAGTTGTATGTGTATAGGGGTGTGTGTGTGTGTGTGTGTGCCACCAGCATTGCAGGAGAGGACCAGGCCAGCCCTAGAAGAAGGTGTGTATAGGTAGGGGTGTGTGTGTGTGTGTGTACCATCAGCATTTCAGGAGAGGACCAGCCCAGCCTTGGGAGATGGTGTGTGTGTATAGGGGTGTGTGTGTGTGTATGTGTGTGTGTGTTTGCCACCAGCATTGCAGGAGAGGACCAGCCCAGCCTTGGGAGATGGTGTGTGTGTATAGGGGTGTGTGTGTGTGTGTGTGTGTGTGTGTGTGTGTGTGTGTGTGTGTGTGCCACCAGCATTGCAGGAGAAGACCAGCCCAGCCTTGGGAGATGTGCTGCACCTTTCCTGAACTAGTAAATGCGACACAGAGCTGGCTCCTTTCTGATGCTGTGTCACAGCCCTACAGTTTCTGAAACCCAGAGTGGAGTCCCGGATGATCTTGAACACCGGCTCTAATTGAGAACCTCTCTGAGTGACCAGATTGGATTGGCTAGGTCTCACCATGTATCCATGTCCTTACTGCAAGACATTCTGATAACCAACTTCTAGCCTTTGAAGTTTTAAAGCTGGGAGTTATGTTCTGGAACTCATGAGAGTGTAGGAAGGGAGTTCAAATGCTTAGTCAGAGCACAGGAAAGAAATATCACATAAATAAATTATAGAGTGGTTAGCCTTAAAAGAGGACAGACAAGGTGCATGGAGTATATGACCAGAGAACCTGACCAAAACACTCAGGAAAGCCCTCCTGAATGCAGCTTTTAAGCTGAGACCTGAATGGAGAGGTGAGGAACAAAATAACAACAAAAAGTGAGAGAATACTTACTCAAAGAATATTTATTCAGAGAACCCAAGGAAAGAGGAAGTGGTTGTTCCAGTCAAAGAGGCAGGAGTCTATAAGGGAGATGTGGCATGAGGGCTGGAAAGATAGGAAAGTATCGCATCTTAATGTGACCACAGAGACCTTTGGTCAATCTCTTGCAGGCCCTGAGGATCAAAGCAAATCATGGCATTTACATCTTTAAAAGCTCATTCTGATTACTAAAGTGTGAATATTGAAAGCCTACTTAAGATTTTGCCATATTCACATCCAAGAGAATGCCACCATGATCTAATAGGGTGGTGTCAGGGAAGGTAGATGGCTCTGAGCAGTGCCCAGAAGATAACATCATTAAACCTTGATGATAGTGTGTGAAGGGAAGGGATGTCAAATATGACTCAAGTTTTTGCACAACCAGGTAGATGATGGTGGTAATGTTTATAGAAGAGAATCAGGTTTGGGAGGTAAAAATTATTAAGAACTTTGAACATAATCAAGTTTAAGATGCTCCCTGGACAATCATGAACAAAAAAATATCAGTGAACATTTGTTAGGCACTTCTGTGTGCTGGCACCCTATTCCAAGTGCTCAGAATAGAGATATGGGCTGATTTTAAAGGTGGCCGAAGCATCTGATGGTATTAGAAGCTACTGGAGGTGATAGGGTTGTCCTGGGCACATTGCTAAGTTCAAAAAGGACCTAAGCTTGAACTCAAAGAAACCCTGACATTTCAAGATGGGAAGTAGAGGGGGGATTGGCAAAGAGGTGAGAAGATCAGGTCAACCTCAAATCAGAAGAAAGGGCTGATCTGGAGAGGTGGCTGCTTGTGTCACATACAAGCAGTGAGCCATGGAACCAGACAGGGAATGCAATTGCTTGGTGTGTTTATCAATAGGCTGCCAGTCTCTGGCAGAGATTGTATCTTTGATCAGATCTGCTGATACTGAATTTCCCAGTATGCTGCTTGAAGGTCCTGTCTACTTGGACCATCATTTTTCCTGAATTATCAAACAAGATTTTTGAGAAAACATGGGTGGCAGGGATGATATAAACCAGAAAGGACTACAGCACTGTCATTTAGTCCATCCTGTGTACTCTGGAGAGAGGGAAGGACATCTTAGGCTACTCCCTGGTTGCCCATCATTGATAATAGAAGCCAAATTAGAAAGGTATCTCTGTTGCTTATTGTTATAAGACTTTAAGGAAGTGATTTAATCCTTCTATGCTGTAATTTTTCTGCTGTAAGATGAGTAAAACACTGGTCCATGTAAAGTGATAGCTAGTGCATATAACACACAATAAATAATCAGTATTAGTTGCTCTTAGAAATAAATTGGTACAGTTCATGAAGATTAATGCTCAGACACCCTAAGCCAGCTTGCTTAGGGTTAAATACAGTGATTTGCAGGTAAGATACTTTACAGACAGAGAAGTGAAACCATCACCCTGAGTGTGTAAATGAAAATACACATGTATTTAAGTAGACTAACAAATCATTTTCAAAAATGAAAACTAAAGCTATTGTGTTGGTATATTAGGTTTCCTTAAGGTTTTTTGTTGTTGTTGTTGTTTGTTTGGTTTTTTGGGTTTTATTTATTTATAGATGCCTGTTCAAAACAAACTTCATTTTTAAAGGAAAATAAGAAAGAATCTATAGGCCTTAAGGTTTGGGTCTTGGTCTATCTGTCCTTATGTTCCAGAACTTTTTACACACAGAAACAAAGGTTATTGAATGTTTTTCTTTCATGGAGATCAAGGCAAATCATTTGTATTTTGAGGAAGGAAATTCATGTTAAAATATGTATTGATCACATATCACTTTGGTTTCCTTTGCAGGACTTTAAGCTCGACTTTGGCAATTTCCAAGGAAAAACAAGTGAGAGGTGGCATGGAGGTATAGCTACCATTTTTCAAAGTCCTGGCGATGAAGTGTGGGGAGTAGTATGGAAAATGAACAAAAGCAATTTAAGTTCTCTGGATGAGTAGGTGGCTTCTAATTATAAGTTAAAATAATACTTAAAGTGGGTTATATGGATGTGCATTTGTGGCTACACTGTAGATATATTCTTATACTTCAGGGCCAGTACAACAGTTAGAAACAGCCAGTGTGGAAATAAATCTAGAAGGGTCACACTTACTGATTATATAGGGGCAATGTTTGTCATCTTTTATGCCAAAACACAGAAGCCCTTATTTTTCAATTAGATTTGTCTTTTATTACAAATGATCTTTCTAGTTTCATATTACAGAAAGTCATGAAGCTTTTTTATAATTGTTAGATATTTTTGTTGATTTTGAGAGTTCTTTTTTTTTAATTCTTTGAGGTTGTAGTTGAACAAGTAATAATAATTTATAAAAGCACTGAATAACACAGTAGAACTAAAATTCTCAGAGTTGTGAGACAGAGTGCCTGATACAATGCAAAGTTCCAGAGAGAGCTGGCCTTGAAAAGAACATAGTGGCGGCATGCTGTGCTTGGCTCCTGCTACAGTAGTGCTTTCCCTTCCGCTGTCCTCTTGCTGTCAGAGTACTGCTTCAGGGGCACACAGGTAAAATAAGCATTTGAGTCATGTCTTCAGACAAAAACAAGCAGAGATCTGCTAGAAGCGCACTCGGTGACATTGTTCTTCTGTGTTCACAGGGCATTGCTTTTGCCCCTAAGCATACCAGAATCTACACGTGTTAAGTCCCTTTTGTAAATTAATATGATACTTGCATGTGACCTACCCCTACCCACCTGTAAGGCAGCATCATCTCTGGGTTATTTCACTGCTTAATCCAATATCAATTTGTTTTACTGTAACAGCTTTCCTTTTAAGGTACTAGTGACCAGGGGGGGAAAAAATCTGTATGTATTCAGTTAAGACCCAAGTTTTAAAATATGTTTTCAGTCCAAAGTTCATTCTGTACAATCTGTTACAGAAGCCATTTGTAACATTAAAATGCTAAGCATGCCAGATGTGGCGTCACACAAAAGAAGGCTGGGCATTCTTTTAATCTCAGCACTCAGGAGACAGAAGCAGGTGTGTCTGAACCTGGTCTGCAGAGTGGGTTCCAGGCCAGACAGGGCTGCATAGTGTTTAAAAAAAAAAATGCTAAGTGTACATTTGACATGGTGGAACTTAGTGAGCAAACACGCCTACACAGATATGTAGTTAATCTTATACTTCAGCTTGAGTAAAACATCTTACCTTATAAGCCATTCTCCTACATCCCATGTGGCTAAAATGTGGTTCGTTTGGTTTCAGGCAAGAAGGAGTTAAAAGTGGAGTATATGTTGTAATTGAAATTAAAGTTTCAACTCAGGAAGGGAAGGAAATAACCTGTCGAAGTTACCTGATGACGAATTATGAGAGCGCGCCCCCATCACCACAGTATAAGAAGGTGAGCGACCCGGACCTTGCTGAATCATTTTAATCTCACTGGGCTAAATTAGAGAGCATTTCATTTTTAGAAAGCTTTTAAGAATTTAAAATTCCACATGTACATTTTAATCAAAATGTTTTAAATAAAGTGGATTTTAATGGATTTATAGTATCTATTATATGTATATGTAGTCTATATATTTTTATCATTTTTTTTCCCTTTAACAAACATCTTCAGATTCGTTTTTTTCCTGGAGGGTAATGTATTTTCCGCTGTTGAAGTATTGTCTTTCCTAAATGGAACTAGGCCTTTTAGAGTCAGGGAATCCACCCTCCAAAGCACAAGACCCAAGTGGGATGAGGCCGATGTCCCTTGGTGGAAACCTGAGGCTAGGTACCTACCGGGTGTGGCCCGTGAGGACCCGGCGGCTATTGAGGGTAGCACAGGAGCTGAGCCTCTGGCATGGTGCCCAGAGATCAGCCTGGTAAGGGTCTTGGGGTCCTCTGAATAGTCATTCCTTGTCCCCTGCGTGTCTCCTCTAAGCAGAAGTAAACAATGGCACTGACAGCTGCTGCCTAAAATCTTGGCCTTTTTTTTTTTTTTTTTTTTTTTTTTTTTTTAAGAATGTAATTTTTCTTAAAATAGCATATACATTTTATACCATAACAGTGCATTTTATCTTACTATTAAGACATTTTAGGTCATGCTGTTAAGTAGAACCGACACTCTGACAACGTTTCAAGCTGCTTTGAGATCCCTTCCGCCGCCACAGAGTGAGGAACACCTGGCTGTGCCTGGGTTGTTTTAAAATGTGCCAGTTTTTTAGTCATCTAAAGCCGGTGTCATGAGCCTTAACAGTACAGACAAAACTATGGTACACTAAAGCATGCTCCTAACTAAAATGGCTTCCTTGTTTTAACCATTCCCTAGGTTATCTGCTTGGGTGCCAAAGAAAACAGTTTGCCATTGGAGTATCAAGAGAAGTTAAAAGCAATAGAACCAAATGACTATAAAGGAAAGATCTCAGATGAAATGGAAGAAATCATCAAAAAGGGGGAATCGAAACTGTACAGAACATAACAGGATCTGAGGATTTTTCTGTGTGCAGTATGAAGTGTGTTTAGTGTTTGCCAGCAGGAATCTGGGACCTTCCTGTTTTTAACCTATTGATTTTCAACAGTGCTGTGAAGGGGCTTCTCTCTTAGGTGATTCCATATTTTCAACTGGAATGGGGATAGCAATTAGACAATTAAAAGGGGCCAGGAGGTCCTGGAGTGTGTAAGCGGTGATGGCTGTGGGTTCTCCTGTGGACATGTTTGTATCCTGAGTTGCATGGAACATCTCAGTGTGCTCTGAGGACTGCAACCCAGTGGCACATTGCTGCACTTGGCCTGCTTTCTGCTCGTTTTTGATCAGCTTGTGAGAGTAAGCAAACTATAGAGTGTTGGTGATAAGACTTTGAGGAGTAGAAACCGATACACTGCCCTTCTAGGGGTGAGTGTGTCCATGGCTATAAGGGGTGTCCCAGCAAGTGCCTCTCCCCCCCCCCCCCCCTGCTAATCTCAGACTGCACAGAGCAGCCTCAGCCTCACGGAGTCTGCCTTAAGTAGCATCGTGGATCCGGAGCTACGCTGGCCTTGAACCTGTGTCCCTCTTGCCTCAGTTTCTCCTGTAGTTGGATTTATGGTCCTGTGCCACTAGGCCTAGCTGAGTCAACAGTGTCCAGTTGTGAGACTTGAGCTTCTTTGGGTCTCTGTACCTTATTTGCCTCGCCTGTGCAAATAGGGATAATGAGGACACCCGTATCTGCAGCTTCTTCTGAAGGGTTCGTGTGTAAGAAGGTGGAAAGCATAGGGCAGAGCCTGGCACTTAGTATTAGCAATGGCACCGAGTTTGGAGGGTTCTTTTGTTTTTTTTTTTTTGAGGCATAAGCGTGCTCTGGTCCAGGGTGCCCTTGCATTCAGATTGTCTGCCTTCCAGCCTTCCTAGATGTAGAGTCCAGGTGTGTGCTGTCATGTGTGGCAGGGCATTCAGTTTTGTTTTTGTTTTGTTTCTTTCTTTTTTTTTTTTTTAATCAGTGGTTTGGGTCCTTGAAAAACTCTTGAAAAACTTAGGGAAAAAAATTACAGTTAGGTCCTAGATTGTAGAATCTTCTAAGTGTGCCAACCCCTCTTCCAGGGGGTGGAAAGGTGAATTGTAAGCTGAAAGAGCAAATACTGGGAAGAAGTGGCCAGGTATCCTGGAAGTAGACAAATAGCCCCGGAGCATCCTGTACAGAGTAAGATAAGATACCAGAACCCTTAGGAAGGACTAACTTGGCTCCCAGTGTAGCCCCCAGTTGTTGCCACTAGTGAAAGCAGAGAAAATAGGAGCGTAGAGCTGGAGAAACAGGTCAGGTGGTAAAGCGCTTACCATACAAGCATGAGGACCCAAATTCAGTTCTTAGACCCCAATCCAGAAAAAAAAAATAAAAAGCTGGACATGGTGTTGTAAGCTTACAATCCTAGTGCTGGAAATGCAGAGACAGGTGGGTTCCCTAGCCAGCCAGTCTGGCCTGCTTGGAGAGTCCCCAGGCTGCTGAAAAACCCAGTCTCAATGAAAATGTGGGTGTCTCCCAAGGAATGGCACCTGAGTCTGTCCTCTGGCCTCTGTGCACACTCTCCCCCGTATGAACGTGCACGCACAAATGAAGATTGTATAGTTATTTTCAAAACAGCAACTTAACTAGGCACGGATCTGTGTGCTAGCACTCAGTATAGTCATGAGCTGAGGTGGCTGGATTGCCTGAGTCCAGTCTGGTCAGTGCAGCCTCATCCCCAAAATGACAAAACCCACACCAGTTTAAAATAGGGATGTATGCACTGATTCCTGGCAAGATGGAGTAGGTGTGCTTTTCTCTATTTCTCCAGTTAAGTACAACTAAAATCCCTATGTATTATGCAGCTAACTGGGGCAAGGCTGAAAGGGGAGATGGCAAAGACTTCAGACCCAATGCCCCAGAGCACTAAGTTCTCTGAGTTTTCTTTTGCTTCATGCAGCTCAGGTTATAGCTAAGAAAGGCAGTGCCCCAGAAGTACCAAAGAGGATTGCTTCAGTCCACACAGCCTGCTCTAGGGATAGTGCCAGGGAAGGGACAGCCTGGCAATATAAAACATTCAGAGCTTAAACACGCCAGTCAGGCCATAGACAAACAGGATAGACTCCAACTTCCACCATGCCAACGGAGGCTCAGAGGAGAGCCTGGACTTTTCGCACACTCCAGGCATAGTAAGCCATTGGTGCTATTTCAGCTGGCTAGTGTGCAGTGCTCACCAGGGTGAGGTCCTGAGTTTGATTCTGCCACAAGCTGGGCTTAGAATAGACCACTGCTTGTGACCATTTCCAGTGACCAACAACAAAATGTACATCACCAACCCAAAGTGCCTTGTTCATCAGAATGCCTTCACTTACAATTGTGACTGAATAAACAGCCGCCATTGAAACGCCACAGCGAGCAACAGGACCCTGCTGGAAGCCAGTGAAAACAGAGTCTCAGTAAAGCAGAGGATAGAAAGACCCAAATGGGGGGCTGGGAACATGGCTCAGTGGTTAAGAGCACTGACTGCACTTTCAGGGGACCCAGTTCAATCCCAGCACCCACATAGCAGCTCACAGCTGTCTAACTCCAGCTCCAGGGGACCCAAAACCCAAGGCAAAACACTAATGCACATTAAAAAAAAAAAAAAAAAAGACCTAAATGGATTAAAAAATAGAGTCGATTAATCCCAGCACTCAGGAGACAGAGACTGGCGGATCTCTGTGAGTTTGAGGCCAGCCTGGTCTACAGGGCCAGTTCCAGGACAGGCTCCCAAGCAATAGAGAAACAAAAACTAGAACTGAAACTATAAAACTATCTCGAATCTACCTTTGTCCTCCAGCAGAATGACAGAGGAAAGAAGGAATGAAGTGGTGATGGAACACTAGCTGCCAATGTGGGAAAAAAAAATTATAACAGGTGGAAGGCAAAGCCAAGACGCCAAGAGATTTCCGAGCCCAGTTGACTCCTAAGAGAAGAGCTAACTTGCAGGAGAAAAGGCAGGGTGACTTTTGCAAAGGGAAAGAAGCTGAGTGGGCTGTAAGGAAGCCCAAAGAAATGCACATCAAAACAATCCAGAGTAAAGTTTGGAAAAATCAAAACTTCTTGAATGTGAGCCATGTTGATCATTGCTCCACCCACTGGAAATAGTGGAAGAAAGCATGCTTCATGAAGACAACAAAACCAAACCAAAACACCCCCAGAATCTCTCAGAATGAGAGTACAGTAAATCAAAATAAATAAAATCATTAGCCACCCTGCCCAAATAATGAAGAAAGTAAACAGAGAAGAAATAATAAAAGAAGGAAGCTTTGAGCATGATAGAAATAAAAGGGCCGTGGTGAGAAAAACAGGTAGATGCAATAGGCTTCCCTTCTCAACCTCCTAATTACACTTGACAATGGAGCAAAAGTTGTAATGCTAACTGCCAAGGTCCTGAAAGTCAGCATGGTTAAAAAAAGGAAAGCAGAGAAGAGGTCCTGAATCTGAATGTGTTAAAAAAAAAAAAAAAAAAAAAAAAAAGGCAAACAATAGAACAAATTCAGAAAGGACTTGAAACAACTTAAATTTAAAAAAGAAAAAACCTCATATCTGCTAGAAGACAAGAAGTGTGTGTGTGTGTGTGTGTGTGTGTGTGTGTGTGTGTATGTATGTATGTATGAATGTATGTATGTATGTGTACTTATAATCCCAGTACTTGAAAGGCTGAGGCAGGAGGATCATGAATTCAGCCAGCTTCAACTAAAAACCAAAGATGAAATGACAGTTATGTTTCAGCATAGTAATCATGTGTGCCATTGGAGCTGCCCAAGAGTCTCTGTAGTGATGAGTGCTCACTGCTCTTTAAGAAGACCTGGGTTTGGTTTCCAGCACCCACATAACACCCTGCTAGCCTCAGCACCCAGCTTACATGGTATAGATACATACGTGAAGACAAACACTTCAACATGTAAATTTAAATATGATAATTAAAAGATAGAAGTTGGAAAAATGTATTTAAAACATAGCTTAGCCTCCTGCTGTCTACAAGAAATTTCCGCTGTAATGAGTGAAGCAGTTTGAAAGGGAATGGAGGACAAAGGTGTGGGATGCAGATGTGAGCCAAAGCAAACAAGATTCTTGTTAGTCTCAGACAAAATAGAGGTAGAGCAAAGGAAACAGAGCAGTTGCCCAACTTACCTAATTCATTTTTAAGAAGCAGTATTAGCTTGATACCAAACTGAAAAAGATAATACCAAAAAAAAAAAAAAAAAAAAAAATGCTTAGGGAATTGGGAGTTAATAAGATTCAGCCATACCTAAGAGTTGTGAGCCACGGCAAAGTGTGGTTTATTCCAGAGATGTCTTGATGGTGTGGTATTTGCAAATCTGTCAAGTCACTTCGGTGACAAAACAAAACAAAAAGGCACGTATCAACTGATGCAGGAAAAGCATTTGGCACAAGCCAACACCCATTCACAATCAAAACACTCAGAAAAATATGCAAAGGGAACTAAATCTTACAGAGTTTATGCTTTCCCCCTAAAATCGAGAATAAGGATACAGGCTTTCCCTACTTATTCATCACCTTTAGAAGTTACAGACTGCTGCTGTAAGGCAGAAGAAAAGTTCACAGTAAGCTGGGCCAGGTAAAGTCTCCCGGCTAAGCCTGATGACCTGAGTTTAACTCCTAGGACCCACGTGATGGAAACAGGAAACTGACTCCTTCAGGTTTTTCTCTGACTTGCAAACACACACACATACTTACTTTAGATGTAATAAAAAAGAAAAAAAAATCAGTAAGTTGAACCATCCCTATTTATACATGCTTGACATAATTGTCCATATAGAAAATACCAAGGGAGGTTTTCTTTTCTTTTTCTTTTCTCTCTTTTTTAAATCTCTATAATCAATAAAGTAAGTCCAGCTGGGTCGGGAGTACAAGGTAAAATACAAAAAAGTGTAGTGGATATCCACCCTGCCCATAACTCTTGCACTGACCATGCCCATTGGGGTGTGGGGACAGGTGCGGGTGTGACCTGGGGGGAACTAGGTCT